CTACGAAAGCAAAAGACTTGGCAGACGATGCACCATCCCCCCAATGAAAAGCAGGGGTGTCACTAGCACGTTAAGAGACCATACAATAAGTGTCAGGGGCCCGAGACTGTTCAGCTGCCTCCCAGCACACATAAGGGGGATTACCAACAGACCCCTGGCAGTCTTCAAGCTGGCACTGGACAAGCACCTAAAGTCAGTTCCGGATCAGCCGGGCTGTGGCTCGTACGTTGGTTTGCGTGCAGCCAGCAGCAACAGCCTGGTTGATCAGGCTCTGATCCACCAGGAGGCCTGGTCACAGACCGGGCCGCGGGGGCGTTGACCCCCGGAACTCTCTCCAGGTAAACTCCAGGTCTCCAGGTGGTTGTGGGGGCGGAGGGAAGGGGGACCAAGGTGGTGAGGGGGATAGCGGGTGAGTGAGCTGTGGTTATATGGAGTGGGGGGCGCCTGAATCCTGTTGTGTGTCCTTATGCTGTTGTTGTTGTTGCTTCCCAGACAAGAGGGCACACAACCTGGCCATACATAAGGGCCACATAATTAGATCACACCACAGGATTGCACAATAAAGTCACACAACAGGGACACACAACATCACCACAAAACAGGGCCGCACATCAGGGCCACACAACAGGGCCGTACAACAGGGCCACACAACAGGGCCACACAACAGGACCACACAACAGGGCCGCACAACAGGACCACACAACAGGATCACACAACAGGACCACACAACTGGATCACACAACAGGACCACACAACAGGACCACACAACAGGGCCGCACAGCAGGGCCGCACAACAGAACAGAAGATGAGTTTGAGGGAAGAAGAGTCATGTTTCTCCTCGGTGTTCGAGTCAACAACATGCTTAAGTAAGGCAGCTTCACTAAAAAGCAAACTTAATATCTCTCATCTTCCTTATTCATATTAACCTTGCATCACCCGGATCACTTTCCATGCCAACCTTCAAGACAGGCAGAGAGGAGAGAGGGAGAGTAGGAAGAGGAAAAGGATGGAGAGTGAGAGGGATGGAGGAGAGGGAGAGGAAGGGTAAAGGATGAAGGGAGACAGAAAGGGAAGGGAGGAGATAGGTAGAGAGCGAGCGAGCGAGAGAAAGAGAGAGAGAGAGGTAGAGAAAGAAAGAGAGAGAGAGAGAGAGGTAGAGAAAGAAAGAGAGAGAGAGAGAGAGAGAGGAGAGAGAGAGAGAGAGAGAGACAGAGAGAGAGAGAGAGGGAGGGATCTATTGTGAGTCTCCCACTGTAACAATATATTCCTTTCGCAACTTCTTGTTAATCCCCTAAAGTCTTAGTACTCTCCCCCACACTCCTACATCCCATCTTCCCCAACCTCCATTTCCTTTCCCTCTCTTTTCCCCACTCCGACTATTTATCGGAATTAAAAAATTGTCTCTTCTTCGTCCCTTTTCTCCTTCCATCTTTTCTTTTTCGTGATCTTTTCTTCTGTTTGTGCCTCTTCCTCTTACCCGTTCATGAGGTGTGTGTAATTTTTCTGTTTGTAATTACAGTTTTGTAATTACCTGTTTCCTGTTAGAATACCCTTACCTGTTCCTGTTTTATTACTCTTTATGGGCTTTCATTTAATATATATATATATATATATATATATATATATATATATATATATATATATATATATATATATATATATATATATTTATATTATATATATATATATATATATATATATATATATATATATATATATATATATATATATATATATATATATATATATATATATATTTATATTATATATATATATATATATATATATATATTTATATTATATATATATATATATATATATATATATATATATATATATATATATATATATATATATATATATATAATGTCATACCAAATAGGTAAAATTAGCCAATTAGCAAGAACAAAGTTAAAATGAAGTCCTTTCTAAAATTTTCTCTTATATTTTTAAAGATATATATATTTTTTCATTTATGTTAATGTAAAAATTAATAATTTTGTGCCAAAAGAACCTTAGAAAACTTACCTAACCTTATTATAACAAGCGCAATTTAATTTAGGCTAATCCAACCAAATATATTTTAGATACGTTTACAGTAATTTAATAATAAACACAATGAAATATATTTTTTCGTTATGTTCAGAATGATTTTTGCGAAATTGTTGCATACACAAATTTTCGCTTGCCTTATTCGGCAAGAAGAGCGTTGCTATTTAAGCGAAACTAGCAAGTTTTACCTATTCGGCACGACATAAATATAATGGAGATAGATTTTCCTCTTGAAATTCATAAACATATTTTCATTTTACATTTCCAAACATCTCAGTCTTAAATCCCCATCATCAGCGCTATAATATAAAAAAAAAAATTATACCAAGTAGAATATATGTAATTTTCACACAAAAGACAAATACGTTCGTTTTTTAAAACAAAGTAAAAAATAAACTAAGTAAAAAATAAACTAAAGTTAACCACTAAAACTTTACTATGTTGCAATAACTAATGAAACAGTGAACTAACACAAGATATAAAAATTCATGCAACAGCAGAAATTTTTTTCTGCTTGAACAGTTGTAAGGATGTCGAGAACTGTTCTCAGTGTGTACAGGGATGCTGAGATGATTACGTCGCGTCTCTGAGGTGTTGAGGTCTGACCTGTCAAGTTTCCAGAGGTAAGAGGACTGTTGGTTAAGTCACAGTGATTAAAACCTTCACTGAATTAACACAGCCAGAGTCGCTGCACATCACAGCTGGTGAAGTTATCGTGACGAGGACAGTGAACCTCTCAGAAAAGTGCACATATCCTCAAGAAGAAAGTAATAGAAGAAAGTACTCGAAGTAGTAGTAGTAGTAGTAATAATAGTAGTAGTAACAGTAATAGTAGTAATCGTCGTCGTCATCAGTGATCTCTATTTACAATTTGAGGTCTCGATAGGAGCAATGCAGTAAGGAAAGATTTATACCTATACAAGTATTCTGAGAAGAGATGTTTGAAATATCATGAGGTACTACCTACATATCGAACATCACACCTCGAACAGACAACAGGAGGCCCTGGCTCACAAAGCGGAGGATTCACTCTGCTTGAAAGTACTGATACTATGTTGATTATGGAATGAAAGTTGAATTAAATTTGTGGAAATGAGAACTCCAGTATATTACTCACTTCTTTGATAATGTGAGTAATAATGTTACGTAAGATAGACTAACGTATTATGTATATTTAAAGACTATGATGATACAGATTGTTGTACGAAAGCTTTCTCAGCGGACTTTATAATAAATGATTTGGAAAAGCATAATGTAGAAAATAATTAAACAATTGATTAACTTCAATGCAAAGCAGATCAGAATTTGAACAAATACAAACTCTAATAATAAAGACTATATCAATATTAACATTATATAATACAGCACATTAACTAGGGTAATTTGAACCTAACTTAGTAAATGTTAGTGTTCTCTATTCAAGTTCAAACGTTCCATTGATATTCATAATGAAAGTATCCAGAAATACCAGTGTTGAATTGTCTTCAGTTTTACTTGTACCTTTAATGTTAAGGTGTTTCAAGTTGAGAAATGTTACAAATCTACGTAATTGTCATAAATCTTTAAAAGTAAAAATAAGAAAAGTTATCCACATACCAATAAAAGTTTTAAAGCCATGTGAACACCTGTGTAACCATATCTTTGTAATAATAAAAACAACAAAGCCTTTGCAAAATAATGGACCAAGAAGTGAACCATAGCAACCCTAGCTGTCTGCGAATACAAGTCATCATTAAATATAAAAACTTAATCTAATTTACCAATTTCCAAAATGTTGGTGAGTGACTCTTAAAAGTTTGATAAAATGGAATGAAAGTAATCTTTACTTGTTTTTGTTTCTATAATAAATTTAAGGTTATTCTTCGCATTAGATATTACTAGGATCTTATCATACATCATGGGCTGTTTATGGATTCTTTCATTCTAATTTTATTTTCGTTATATTTTTCTACATTAACCTTCATCATTCATTTATTATTCTACTTGCGCACTTGATTCCCGTATTTTGAAAGATTCTTGTAATCCAAATTTTAAAATATGCATAAGATTATTAGATCATTTGAGTGTATATATATATATATATATATATATATATATATATATATATATATATATATGTATTATATATATATATATATTCATGTTCTCCAAGAATTTTTACGCTTTTCGGTATTTTTTTTATTTTCACACCATATTTTAGTGATTTTTTTTCATTCGTTTAAGAATTACTTTCTCCAATTGAAATTATGAACCTTTTCCAAACATTCTCTATATATTTCGAAGGTGTCGTTCTAATTTTAGTGTTGGCAGTTATGGTCCAGTTCATGGTGTGCGTGTTCGTTTGTAAATACATTGTGGAATTTCATATTTATATGTCACGTACATTTTCTTCTTAAATTCAAGAGTTGAAATATCAAACATTTTTATTCATTATGTTTGGGCTCTCAAATTTTCTCTTATCTTTTATTTTGACAGTTTGAATTTAAAGTTAGGTTTCCACCAGTTTTTGATAGTACTGTTTTTTTCCTACAAATCTATTTAATTGTATATTTAGAATATTCGTTCCTGGCTTCATTTTTCTTCCTCACATAATTTTCAGAGTTTAAAAGCTTTATTGATTTCAGGTTTGTGTTTCTTTTTCGTGACTTTCAGGCAGTTGTTTCTGATCTGATTTTAATTTATTTCTGTTTCTCATTTTAGAACTGAATTATTTTGTGTCAGTGTCATATATGTTACATAAATATATTACTGTACTGTAATACTTTCTTATAGTTGTCTGAAAACTCTGTTAGATTAGCCTGCCTACCTTTGTTGTACATTGTATTATTTAGTATGTCTCTCCTTGTCTAAGTTATAATTTGCTACCAACATTATTCTAATAGTACATAAACCACTTTATCCATGCGAGTTTACATAATTCACACAGAGAAATTCTTCTTTTTTTCCAGTAAACACTGGGTGCCGTCTAGCTGGTACGTTGCCTTCTCTCACTCGAGTGTGTTGCTGCATCCACTCCATTTCTGATTTACTATCCTATACTATGGAAAAATACAAGCATACAGAACAATCACTTATTTGGCTGACGTCTTGCTCGGTGGAGGTTCTTCCCAATCATTACACCTTGAGTGAAACGTTGTCCAAATAAGGTTTACTTCCGCAGGCTTGTGTCATTCTACGTATCGGCGTCTCGCCCAACAAGTTAATTTCTCATACTATAATATTTTTTGCTTTATCTTGGTCAGCTTTGAAGTAAATATTTTAATGTATTAGTTCTTAATTCAACATGCCAAGCTCTTGTCTCTCCCCAGTATTGTTAAAGGATGGGTTGTGCATCAACACGTACGAATGGTTTCCTTCATGGATGTGGCTCTTCCTTTAAAAGCTCAATAAATGTTTGTCAGTGAAAGTAGGAATTCTTTCACAGATACTGTTAGTACACTACCTCGTCCTCCATAAGCCGAACCACTTATTACACCATTGCACTCGTTTTACGCCACATAATACATCACATATTTCAACTATTTCGCTATTTTACACTGTATATCACACCAACAATTACATAATATAATTCTTCTCAACAATGAATAGTTGCAATTTTTTTCTGCATTTTCCCTCTTTGTAATTGCTATAACACTTAATGTTAACATTTCCTATACAGAGGTCTCTCTAAAAGTCTTTTTGAGATTAATGCAGTATTGATTCCATTTACTCTTGAAATATGTTTGTTTATGTTTCTAGGAATATTCAGTTGTTACTTTTTCACACTGTTTCCTTCTACGATCAGTTTTAATATTTCATAAGTGGCAAAAGTTATTAGGCTCCATAGAAATTTCTCTTCATTTTTAGTTTTCCTTCTGTCTGTGTACTCACCTATTTCTACTCACCTATTTGCCTCTACACTGGTCGCTACTAGGTCACTCTCCCTGCACCATGAGCTTTATCATACCTCTTCTTAAAGCTATGAATGGATCCTGCCTCCAATACATCGCTTCCCAAACTATACCAATTCCTGACTACTCTGTGACTGAAGAAGTACGTCCTAACATCCCTGCGATTCATTTGTGTCTTCATTTCCAACTGTGTCCCCTTGTTGCTGTATCCCATCTCTGGAACATTCTGTCTCTCTCCACCTTGTCAATTCCTCTCAGTATTTTATATGTCGTTATCATGTTCCCCTATCTCTCCTGTCCTCCAATGTCGTCAGGTCGATTTCCCTTAACCTTTCCTCGTAGGACATCCCCTTAGTTCTGGGACTAGTCTTGTTGCAAATCTTTGCACTTTCTCTAGTTTCTTTACGTGCTTGGCTAGATATGGGTTCCAAATTGGTGCCGCATACTCCAATATGGGCCTAACGTACACAACGTACAGGGTCCTGGACGATTCTTGATTAAGATGGCGGAATACTGTTCTGAGGTTTGCTAGGCGTCCATATGCTGCAGCAGTTATTTGGTTGATGTGTGCCTCAGGGGTTGTGCCTTGTGTTATACTCACCCCAGGATCTTTTTCCCTGACTGAGGTTTGTAGGCTCTGGCCCCCTAGACTGTATTCCGTCTGCAGTCTTTTCCCTTCTCCAATTTTCATAACTTTGCACTTGGTGGGGTTGAACTCCAGGAGCCAATTGCTGGACGAGGCTTGCAGCCTGTCCAGATCCCATTGTAGTTCTGCCTTGTCCTCGTCCGACTGAATTCTTCTCATCAACTTCACATCTACAAACAGGGAGACTTCGGAGTCTGTTTCTTCCGTCATGTTCACGAATACCAGAAACATCACCGGTCCTAGGATTGACCCCTGTGGAACCCCACTCGTCACAGGCGCCCACTCTGACACCTCGCCTCGTACCATGACTCGCTGCTGCCTTCCTGATAGGTATTCCCTGATCCATTGTTGTGCCTTCCTTCTTATCCCTGCCTGGTCCTCCAGTTTTTGCACTAATCTCTTGTGTGGAACTGTGTCAAACGCCTTCTTGCAATTCAAGACAATGCAATCTACCCACCCCTCTCTCTCTTGTCTTACTGCTGTCACCTTAACATAGAACTCCAGTAGGTTTGTGACACAGGATTTCCCGTCCCTGAAACCGTGTTGGCTGTTGTTGATAAGCTCATTTCTTTCTAGGTGTTACACCACTCTTCTGATAATCTTCTCCATGACTTTGCATACTATACCTGTCAGTGATACTTGTCTATAGTTTAGTGCTTCTTGTCTGTCTCCTTTTTTTTAAAAAAAGGGACTACATTTGCTCTTCTATGCCTCAGGTAATCTCCCTGTTTCGATAGATGTGTTGAATATTGTTGTGGGTACACAGAGCACCTCTGCACCCTCTCTCAGGACCCATGGAGAGGTGTTATCCAGCCCCATTGCCTTTGAGGTGTCTAGTTCACTCAGCAGCCTCTTCACTTCTTCCTCAGCTGTATGTATTGTGTCCAACACTTGGTGGCGTACCCCACCTCTCCCTCTTTCTGGAGTCCCTTCTGT